ACTGTTATTTTTTTTGTCGTGGTGGACCTTCCGGTGGAAACACCCATATGGAAGAAAACCGCAACACTTTTGGCGAAAAAAATTATAAAAAATCAACGGTAACTTTTAGCCACTTGTACTTGCACATTATTAGACTAAAATTGATTGGGCTATAAAACTGTGTATTTAGAAAAATTCAAACACTTCCGAGAAAAAATTTTGAAATTTAGGTGAAAATTTGTTGCACTTTTTTGTAGTTTTCTACAAATTTTTAAACTTGGGTTTATATGGGTTTTGTTAGAGAAAAAACTGTATTTTAATTGAAAATTCTTAAAAATAAATAAATAAACACAAGTGGCACACAATATCACTTTGAAATGGCGTGCTATAGATATGACCGATACTGTATATAGGGTGTGATTTTGCTCATAACTTGAAAAATGATGATTTTCAAACTGTGAAACTTATTCTCATAAATACGGTCACTCGAGTAGCCTCATAAAAAGTCCAAATCGACGAATGACCTCGGTGGACAAATGAAATCGCCTCAATGCGTGTCCACGTCGCACAATGCGTGCTAATAAGCTAGAACCGTTCACAGTTCACCTTTTCTTTTACACAAATTGCTAATTAAATAAATAAATTTTTATTATACTTAATATATAATTAAAGTGATTTACACAAAAATTTACTTTGCATTCTATTAACCAGTTGACTTGGCACTTCCACATAGCTGTGTAGACCATAAATTGGTAATGCCGTTTTTTCGTTCCACTCATTATTTTCAAAATTATATTCTTCCACTGTATACACATCATGGCCGCCGAGCGCCCATATCCGTTTGCCGACAGTGATGGCGCAGATGCCGAAGCGGGCTACTTTTAACGGTGCGACCTGCGAGCAGGTGAGGATTTGAAAAAATTAAAAACAAGGATAAGAATGTCATTTATGTACATAGGTACCGTACCTCGAGCCATATATTCTGTTTTGGGTCGTAGCGCTCCACTGTATTTAACATGCCCTCATTGTAGCCACCAATCAGAAATATGAATTCATTTAATATGGTAATCTGCAATTTAGCATAAACACATAAGTCCATTTTTATAAAACTTTTTTTTTTTTAATTTTTTACTTACGCCAGGCCAACCGCGCGCCCCATTCATATTGCTGCATGTCGTCCAACTGCTGGTTTTTGGATCATAACATTCAACTGTACTCAAGGGCTGACAGTCAATGCCCAATCCACCGAATATGTAGATTTTTTCTTCGTATACGATAGCGCTGGCACCATATCTGTGAGCTGACATTGCCGGCAGTACTTGCCAATGATTAGTGCATATATCAAACCTAAAAAAGAATACTGTTAATAATGCTTACAATAATTCTGCATCATTTGTTCAAAAATTTCGTTTTTTGAGTTGTGACAGTCTCTGAGCGATATGTATGTACATACATCTCAACTGTATTGAAAGGATCGCCACCATCATGCCCACCAAAAGCGTAAATCTTTTCATTTAGCATCACAACACACAGATCATCACGACGCTGGGACATGCTTGCCATTTCCAACCACGTAAATGTTTCCATATTAAATCGTTTAACAGTATTGTTTCTTTGGACGCCTCGGCCGCGGCCACCAATAAAGAACAGACTACTCTCGTAGTAAATCAATCCATAGCTATAGTCTCTGAATTTAAGTTCGAAGCATTTTTGCCATTTCTTCAGCGCTGAATTATAGCGAAGGATGTATTTTAATTTCTATAAAATGTAAATTAATTAGACAGCAGATAAGACATATAAAATCTATGGTAAACATACATATATGTACGTGCATTAGAAATTTAATATGCTCAGGGCCACTTCTTAGAGACTGGTTAAATTGATAAACTGGTTTGCAACGCCGAGGGTTAAATTTTAGCCTGATAGATAACTACTCGACAATTTTCGAAGTCTAACTTCTTAACTCTGCTTATGGTCCATCCTACAAATCCTAAACCAAAATAAGTCCGCGTTTGGAATCCTGCTAATATGCAATCAAATTATGAATGTGAAGCTTTGCGAGTATGTTTTTTGGCACACAGATAGGCTATAACCTTGATTAACATATAGGATATTATTTGAAGGGAGCTGCCACGTTTTTTAAAAGTTAAAATCAATTAACGGTTCAACAACGATTTATTTCGAAAATACTTTTGATGGTTGCTAGCTGTTGAAAAATGTAAAAACAGGTTAATTAGCAAGTTAAATCAAAATATTTAAGAAACCTTATTAAAAAAAAACATTTGACGAGGGTTGCCATCTGTTTTATACAGTCAGCGTTAAAAATATGAACACCCTGACGTTTTGACAATTGTATTTATTTATACTTTCCATGCCAAATTTTTATTATTTTAATTTTTTTTTTTAATATAGCTCATTGCATAGCAAAAACCAGCAGAATCCATATTTTTAATTTCATATAGACTCAGGAAAATTCAAGAAATACCAAAAAATTTGCATCAAAAGAAAAAGACTTTTTCGTCAAGAGTGTTGCGCATGTTCTTCCATGACCAAAATCTCTTTTTTATATGGAAGAAATCAAAAATCAACGGTAATTTTTAGAGACTTGAAGCTTGCACCTTATTATGCTAAAATTGTATGTACTACAAATCTGAACGCTCGAAATACTCTAAGAAATCGGATTGAAAAATTGAAAATTTTGATGGAAATTTGTTGATATTTCTTGAATTTTGCCGAGATCTATATAATATAAAAAAATATATATTCGGCTGATTTTTGCTGTTGAGAGAACTATATATTTATAAAAAATAAGAAAAATTTGGTATGAAAAATATAAATAAATAAAATTTTCAATACGGCAATGTATTCATATTTTTGACGTTGACTATAATTCGAAGTTAATTTAATAAACAAGTTAATGAAGTATTTTAACACGGGTTACTCAACTCTGCATGGGTATTCAATGTTGGAAGACTGAACTATGTATTTAACTCAGGATGTTCTGCAAGTTAGCCTTACTTAGGTATAATTTTTGTTTAAATTTTTCAACTTACTTTTACATCGTTTAAAATCAACAATCCGCAACATTTCCGTTCATTTTCCGCTTTTGTATAGCCCCCGTTATTCATTGATGTTGTGATCAATTTTAATGCCTTTTCTGCTAACTGTTCACAACCCGGTAGAGGTTTCATAATTTTGTCTATAAATGTGCCATCGAAATGCTCCAGCCTCAGAGAGCTCATTAGTAACGAAAGGTTTGTAGCACGTGCATTCTTATCATGTTCGTACCATCTCATGATGGCCTGAAAGATATCCACTTCACAGTCAATGTGGAGGTTATCAGCGCTTAAAATCTAATTAAGAAATTCTGGCGAAAAGTCAAGAAACTCTGGACTGACGATGACCTTTTTTTTGTATAGAAAATAAAAGTAATTCTCGTAAAATTATCTTTCTATAAAAATCAAAAATTTAGTCGCTAAAATTAGATTCGATATATAAACCATTTAAAGTCGGTTTATATTTTTTTTTATGAATTTGCGTGTAATTTTTAAATTCTAGTTTATCGATATCATAAAATAACAATCTTGCAAATGAACTGGAAATAATTGGAAAATTTAAGTAACGATTATTTGCACTGCCTGTAATTAGGAAATCCTTAAACGCATAAATGTTGCTTACGTATGTATGTAAATATGTCTATTCGATTGACTTTCCAAAACAGCTTAGTTTAACTTGCCTCTGTGAAGTGACTAATCGCATAGTTGATAATTTCACGATTTTTCTCTTCTAGTGCTGACGTCATAATTAGCGCCTAGAACTTTTAACTTCCTCCATGTGAACACTGCAAAAATTATTTATCAATGAGACGAACCAAGCAACTGAGTGTTCTGTGTGTATGGTAAAGAATTTATATATAAAACATCGAAGAAAACTGCTAAGTTAGACATATGTACATATTCACATTAGAACGTACCACCTTACAAACAAGCAAAAAAGAAGTTCCCCGTACAACCTAAACCGAAGCATTTTTGCAGGTCAATTTCGAAAAAAAAAATGTTTGGTGAAAAGTAACTTAGGGTTTACACCGGACAATATTGTCAAGACAATTAAGTCAAAATGATGTGTTTGTTGTAATATGAATTCGCCGTGTTTACAACAAACACATAATTTTGACATAATTGTCTTGACAATATTGTCCGGTGTAAACCCTAAGTGAGGGTCGGCAATAAATTTTTTTTAAATAGTTCTACTAGAAAAGAAAACAACTTCCTTAGCAAAAGTCTAATGATTTTTGGTGAGTTTTAATTTACTGACATTTGTATGGTACGTTCGGGTAATAAGAACTTTGATCTAGTGGGTAAGTACTGGGACGGGATTATCGATGTCAATCAACTTCGGAACAAAAAAAAAAAAATCAACAATTCAAAAAACATTCGAAATTGCCTTTCAAAAATATGTAATATAAGTATATAGATTCAGGGGTGTACGGCGAACTTTTTTTCTGGTACGGTCTAATGTACATCGATACGAATGAATGTAGATTTAGAAAACGGACGGGGGAAATACACTTTAGACAACAATACGGCGTTTGCAATTGTTACATGTGAACGTACATATGTACTTACATACATACATTTGTGTGTGCATATTTCACAAACGGGTGAAATTCCAAATTTAAAAACTGCATTTACTTGCGCATTAAATGATAAAAAAAGGCGTTGTGGTAGAAAGGGCGTTGCTATCTTTCCTGCAATCAATTGCATTATATAAGGGGTATTGTCGAACTCTTGCAATGCCCTTGCATGGTGCACGGTTTGCAAGGCTGTCTCCTAGAAAACCCGGTTTTTTTTCATGCAATCCGTGCACAATGCCTTTGCAAGACTTCGTGAATACCCCTACAGCTACAAAAGCTTGTCATCAACGTTGTGGAAATCGATTTGTTTGAAGTTGTTTTAGCTTGAAACTTGCATTAGGGTCTTTGCAAAATAACTGATTGAAGAAAATGAGTTAGGAAGGCTTTTATTCTCTCTCTTAAAATTTAAAATAGTCAACTTACCAACTTTTCACTATAAGCTATCAATAAATAGTTTTCGGCCGATTCCCTTAAATATATATCTTTTTCCAGCTAAACATACATATATATTTCTCAAAGCGGTGAATCACACTATTTTTTGAACACATATACATAAAAAAGAAAAAAATCTTTCTGTTTTTAACAATTCGACTACTATAGGTGATTTTTTGTAACAATTTTTTTTTTTCTGTTTTTAGAATTTTTATTTTCATTTTTATTTTAAAGAAGTGATACCTCTTTAGAGGGGTTAGTGAACGGGAAAATTGTGACGAAAATCGTGTGACTCCTTCCCTTTCCCCTTCTTCTTTCCGCCTTCCATAACATTTAGAGCAAATTATCAGAGGTTTAAAGTTAAGCCAAAAGCAAGGACGAATACGAAGTTGAAGATGAATACGAATAAGAAGACGTGTACAAAGGGGAGAACAGGACCATTACGAACAGGAAGACAAATACGAAGACTAACACTAAACTGAATGCTAAGACGAATAAGAACCCGAATACGAATGCGAACTAAGGACGAATATGCGGGCGAACACGTACGCGAACACCTCGCCTAAAACGAATACGGTTACGTAGGCGAATGGTAAACCAAATGCGAATACGAATAACGGGAACTCATTTGTGAATTTTTCTACCGCCAATGAAGCAAACCTATCACAGCTAAATTTGAACCTCAGACGATTGTGGTTTCAAGTGGATGAAATATACATTAGGATGGTCTTTAAAAATATAAACATCATGGGGCACCCCTTTATGTTGTTCTACGTTTAAAACTAAGACATCCACGAAACCACATTTCAAACAAATTTTTAGGGGTCGCTATCAGGGTTTGAAAAAATTCATAAGATTGAAAATCAAAATTTTGTTGAATTTTTGCGACTTCTAAAAACAAATTTAAATTTTTGTAAAAATTCTGGTAGCGACTTGTTGAAAACTTTTTTTAAATTTAGATATGATGTGCATGTTTTTTTTATTTTATACATGGAATAAAATTTAAATGTTGATATTTTTAAAGACCACCCTAATATACATACATATAACGGAGATAAAGTCGATGAATGCCATATTCTTTTAGAGAGACGCTATGCATGCAAAAATGGTTTTGAGCCTATAAATTGTAAATGGGACCTAATTGATCGCTGAAACGTTGAAACCAATATTCTTTCGTATTAGTTAACTTATGCTTAAAAAAATATGTACATACATATGTATATCAATGCAAAAGGCCCTATATAACTTTTTTTGGGAAATACTCCGTTATTTTTCTCTCATATAGAGCCCCTTCACCAAAATTGATAGCTGTATATGTATATGCTATGTATATTTACATTTAAAAAAATACACGACTTATTAGCATGTTTAGAACAGCCCTCGGAACTGGTCATTGTTAAAAAAAGAGACCATCAAATTCCAACATTGAAAAATAAATCTTTAGTTAAAAATTTTGTTATTTTTTATTTACTCTGCTTAAATAATTAGAATCGTTTCATTTAAGCAGAAATTATAGAATTTATTAGTGATTAATAATCTTCTTGTTGCGATTTCGGGGGAAAACTTTAGAAGACTATTACATTTTATGGTCTAAAAAAAATCCATTTCCAAACAAATATAATTAGAAATGCATGTAAATCCTTATATAATATCCATAAGTGCATATATACATATGTATGTATCACAGCTCACAATAAATTTAAATGTATGTATACCTATTAACGATAGCTTATCAGCGTGAACAGGCGGTTAGAATGCAGTAAATCATAAAAGTAAGAATTGGTGTGCACCTCGTGAAAAAAATTTCGATTGATATCGCAGAGATATGGATGCACCATATGGTAACGTTAAGTATTAACTGAATTATCAGTCTATTGATTTTTAGCGCTAAATCTACAAAAAATGCAACAAAAAAATTTACTGATACGCAACTGGTTATCCTCTAGTGGTAAATACAAACCATTTTGAGTTTTTTATTGTTGCTGTAACTGCGCAGAAGTGGGCGAGCGTAATCGAGAGCCAAGTGTTTAAATTGTTTGTAATAAATTGTGTTTGAAAACTATTTTCTCGAATGTAAACATTTTGTAATAAGTATGGTCCCATGTTACATAAATTTGTTCAATACCCCCCGCTGCTTTTGATGCAAATTTTTTCTTCAAGAACCAAGCTAAGTTATACTCTGACTTGTAGGCGTCGGAAATGCTTCATTTTAAACTTATTTCGAAGAAACTTATTTTGAAGAAAATTTTTACAAAAATACACATTGTATAGCTTGCTTTTTATGCAGCGGTTTCTTAGGCGAGACGAAAAATCAATTTTTTTTTTTCTTCTTAACTTTTACTGGAACAGTAAATAAGAGTAGCGTCCTTGTGCAAATATGGGCCGAAATGCACTTGGCAATTTTCACTGCAGAAAATGTGATAATTGTGGCATCCCCAGATGCAGGACTCTGTGAGAGTGTTAAATGTAACCAAAACAAAATTCCGCACAGAAGTTACATAGGGAGGCCAACTTCTTATTTCGTGATACTGGACTGATAATTATAGAAAAAGGTAGTGTTCATGCTCAAAGAATTGCAAAAACATGTGAGGACATCGCCGTTTTGAGCCGAAATTTCAAATAAAATATTGATAGTTAGTGTTTTAAAATGTTTTAAACAAATCGATGACCCGAGCTACTTTATCTCAACAGATCCAAGAGCCATAAATTTATCTTATCATGAACTGTACCAACTCTGTTAGGATATTTTGTCTGACTGCACTTGAGATAGGATGAAGCAATCGTACTTGGCTGAGTGAGTACAAAGTTAAGTAAGTTTATCGGACCGCGTTGAAAATGAAAATATTCTAAAGTTTCCGATAAGTACCAATCCTAGTACTAAAGAGGGCACAAATCTACTCCTACTAATGTGACCCTTTGTTTATGAAGACATGAAATAAATAAATGAAATAAGTCGTATAACCCTAACACCTTTAGTCATCGCCTTTCTAGCTTTTAGAAACTCTCAGTAAAATCAAAATCTCATATCTGAACCATCCAGCAACCAAAGCTGGAAATTATAGTAAGATAAGTTAGTGTGAAAGGATTCACCGGGTGTTATGGGGACAGTCTCAAAAAGGCTCACTTCCAATTCGTTAAGAAATCTCATTTCAACAAGCTTTTGCCAGTGATGATAGTGAATTGTGCCAGAGCTAGCGATATCAGATGTATCACATCCCTCTTTCCCATATGCCATACCACCCTTTTACGAACCTTTTCTAATAATAAATGTTTGGTGAATTACAAACTATTTTAGATCTGGAAAAATTATGCTGCATCGAAAAATTTAATATCAGGTTTTATGGGTAGTGATATTGGGCCTTTTAATCCGACTGCAATTCCAAAATATCCTATTGCACAAATGGTCGAATAAATAGAAATGAGTATTAAGATATTTAATAATCTTACGTTTTATGTTCAACCCAAATACATTTTCTGCTTAGAGGAGGTAGTGGACCCTTTATTTGAAGCCACAGAACCTTCGAACATCACACCAGCTAAAGCTCTAGACGATGTCTGTCTTGTTCCATCGGTATCAAGGCCTAAAAGGAGTGAAAGAAATAGATGGCTGGGTACAGTGTGTGATTTGTAAAAAATTATTGCAAGATTTTAGCACGTCTTACTTCAATGCCTGCAAAAAATGTGGGTATGAACTGCAATAAAAATTTGTATGCCATCTCATCTAATAGGATTCACCATTTCCCCCGGGTATCCGGGTGAAGTCTTAATACATTTTTCCCCCATTTTAAGTATTT